CACAGAAGCACAGGGAAGAATTCAGTTCTGCAGGACACAGAAGCACAAGGAAATATCAGTTCTGCAGGACACACAGGCACAGGGAAAAATTCAGTTCTGCAGGACACAGAAGCACAGGGAAGAATTCAGTTCTGCAGGACACAGAAGCACAGGGAAAAATCAGTTCTGCAGGACACAGAAGCACAGGGAAAACTCAGTTCTGCAGGACACAGAAGCACAGGGAAAAATCAGTTCTGCAGGACACAGAGGTACAGGGAAAACTCAGTTCTGCAGGACACAGAAGCACAGGGAAAAATCAGTTCTGCAGGACACAGAAGCACAGCAATGGGAATTTTATTTTACTCTGTAGAAACTGGAGACAAGCATAGTCTTAGCTTTGTATTACTTTCTAAAGAAATATGAGTGTGTTAATTTTGAAACGAGAAAAAAGGCAGGCATCTTGAAAGGTTGTTTTGCAGCAATTTTTGTAGGGTACAAATAATAGTACATTATATTCTTGAAAAAAAATTTAACTGAAATAGCATATCCTACGTATTTAGAGTGAAAACTAAGAGTTGAGGTTAAAACATTATTTTATAAAACATCAAAACAAAAGCTCATCCAATTTTCTTTTTGTAGAAATGTGAAAGTAGAAAACTTTCAATACAAAAAACCTTGAGTTTCTAAATACAGAAGGGGCATTAATATTCAGCCTTATAGAAAAGATGATTTCCTTTCCTGATGGTATCAGGCTTTTATATTAATATATCTTAAGTTTAAAAACAATGGGAAGTAGGTCATATTCTCTTACAAATGAACATATAATCATTTCTAAATCTCTTTCTATTAATATGGAATTATCTATAACTTATTCTAAATGAAGGCAAGACACAAAAAAGAATCATCAAAGGATACGTACAAATATGCAAAACATACACTATGTATGATGTTTAGTTATGATTTAAGCCCATTCATTTCTAAACCAAATGTCTAATACTCCTCTTTCATGGGGTGCTTAAGCTTTTAGCACATCTTTGGTCCTTCCGAGACAGGAAGATCATGAATCCAGGGAGATTCCATGAGTTTGAATCTTCAGGAAGTTAACACAGTTAAGCTGTAGGTCCAGATTTGGGAGGTCAAAGGCCCTGGCCGGGCATTGACCCAAAGGCATACCGGCACTGCCGCAAATTAAAGGATCTAGTTCTAATCATTCCATGAAAAAAGAAGATGGGGACAAACACAGAACCTGCAGGATTCTGGCAACCCCCCCAAGTACACCGTTAACGAGGGTTACAAAGAAAACAGTTGCCAAGCACTGCCGCTAGGGGGGCTGGTCCTGAAGGAGACAGCTAAGCTTCCCTGGCCAAGGAGCTTTGAGAAAAGTCTGGGCAGTTCCTCTGGGCCCCTTCACTTCTGCCCCAGCCCACAGGGGTGCATCTCAGGGAGCAGGGCCTTATGGTCTTTGAGTGGGACAATTCATGTTTGGTTTGCGACTGTCACACCAACTGCAGGGTATCTGGCATCTCCGACCCCTCGCCTACTAATTCCAACAGAACCCTCAAACGTTACTGGAGTAACAAATATGCATTTCCCAACGCCCCTCGGGAACCCGTACAGCCGCCCCCACTTATCAACCACTGTTACAAACTCTCCTATCTTGTTTAAACCCGCAGTGTGGAGAGCCGCCCCTAGGACTCAGATCGACATCTCTAGCAACATTTTTCTCTAGTTCTAATCTGTTTTTCTCCTTTACTAAACAGCATCCCCTGAGGCTTCACAATCACTTCCAACCTGCCAAATTTGAATTCCTTATCTCCCTCACTAAGCCCCAACCTGTTTCTCTTCCTTCCGAGCCAGTACAACCGCCATCCACAGCTAACCAGACAGAAACCTGACTGGCAGACGTGACCCCTCCCTCTTTCTCACCAGGCCCTCAGGATCCTAGGCTTAAATATCCCTCAGGTCTTCTCTTTTCAGCCCCCTATCAGGTCCCCAAAACCTCTGGCTGTGTTACTAGAACGGCCCCAAATCTTCCACCATCCTCCCAACCTCTCCAAGGCAAGCACGGTACAGTTACCTCCCAGGTCACCACTTCAGTCCCTTACTTAATGGCTCGATGTTTCCACACAGCCCCCAGGAAACTGAAAATGCCTCAGCAGGGCACACGCAGGACTTTGCTTCCTCGGCTTTCATTTCCACCAGGCCCCTTCAGCCCCAACCTCCAGCCAGAACCAAATCTGCCCATTTCGAGAGAAGTGCCCTGCAGTAGGACACCTCTGCACACACACTGTGGACGTTCCATTGGTCCCTGGTGACCAAGAGACGCTGGGCAGACGCCACTAGCTAAAGTGCTCTAGACCCCAGGCACTTTGCAGCATAGAAAGTTCCATAAACTGTTGACTGAAATGAACAATTCTTTTTATAAAGAAGAAAAGAACTCGGTGGGACATGTCACTAACAAACACCCACACTGTCAGAACCAGGATGATCTATTTTCAAATAATGCCATCTTCCATGTACGGGCTTCTACCTGTTATTTATGGGCAGTGAAGACTGTGAACCACCATAAAGAAGACCAGACGCCACCTTGTTTAACTGCATGTTGAGCACATACTAGCCTCAGCCTACACTGAATATCGTATCACCCAGAGCTACAATTTCTCATTAGGGGGAAGTAAAACAACAAAGACAGTCTTGATTAGGCCACACTTAACAATGCCACGCTTAATCCACAATACCCGACTCAGACTCGGGCCATGTGTTTTATTCAAGATTCTGTTGTATGTTTTCTTAGAACTGGGGACTCTTTGGTGGGTAACACATTAAACAGTTACCACTTGAGAGTCACTCTTGGAGACCAAATGCTGGAAATTCAACAAGTAGGCATTATGTACAAATGTTTGCAAACATTCTGAGCACTCTGAATTTTTAAAAGGCTCTATCTGAGTGTTTCAGACACATAAATGGGTTTTCAAATTGAATTAAATAAACTCATGTACTATGTTATTATGAAACAGACAGGATTATCACGAAGAAGCAGGTTCTAGTTGAAATATAATGCCCATCAGATATCACACAGGCAGCTATCCAAATTATAGCATTGCATTTCAAGTAAAAAAAAACCCAAAAAACAAATGTAAAGGAGAGGATATTTTTCTTTATCTTTAATGGAGGCTCAGAAGTTTCTGAATTTTGATTTTAATTAAAAAAATAGAAAACCAAGGTCCAGAATAACCCATTCTTGTAAGCTACCATAGAACTAAAGCATTTTTAATAAAATCATAAATGATTTAAATTTTGTTAACGATTAAAATTAAAATAAAATTTAAATCTATAACTTAAATGAGATGACTTATGTCAGGGTTAACCAATGATGGGTTTTTTAATCTGCCTCTTACAGATGAGAAACGACCAGAAGAGGCAGCAACCTGCTCGAAGTTAACCAGTCACCGAGAGGACGGACGGCTGCGGGAGCCCAGGCTCCTTCTGGACCACGCTGGTTACGGGCAGGCTGTCAAGACCCAAAGACTTGGGGACCTGAAGCATCCTCAGGGCAAGAAGGACCGTTGTTGTTCCACAACCAGAAGTTATTACTAAAGGCTTTCCCTGGGTCGTTTACGCACTGTAAGACACTGACCCACAGACACATGATTCAAAATGCAATTCCACAGTGGAATAAAAACACGCCGCCAGGGTTTTCAGAAAATGTATTCTAATTAAAATCATGGCTTACAATGTACAGTAATCAAAACAGTAATAATTATTTATAGTGATGTAGCTAACTCTAAGCTTTGTTTTCATTCAACCGAAGTACAAGTTCAAATTAAAAGAGACTCACTTTGAAGTCTAAATACCTTTTGAACAGGGACACTATGTAAAGCTCTTGTTTTGCCCTCTTCACTGAAGGGAGAGGAGAAATCTTCATTTCTCTTACCAAAACTGCCAAAACTGGTACTAAAGGACCAATGAGTTGACCACAAGCAACAACGCAGCTTCTGTAAGGGGACTTCCCAGCGGTGCCTCTGGCCACCACCACCACAGGCCCACTATTCCCTCCAGCCCAGTGGCTCCTCCGAACATTCATTTTAAGTACTTATGTCAACAGCAAGATTGCCAGGATCTTTTCTCATGCCAAAAATTGGCTTCTGAAGTTGTGCCACCATCGTGAAATATTTGAAGACCTCAGTGATCTGAGCACTAATTCGATCCCTCTGGGGTTGCCTCGACTCCCATGCTGATTTGTGTGGCACGGATGTTCAGTCTTGGAGCTCAAAAGGAATGCGCACCTGCACACAGAGATGGAGCCGGCAGACATACACAAACCCGGTATCACTGCTGTCTCCTTGGCGCTGCCCCGAGTGATGCAAGAGCAATGGCCAGATTCATAAGGGATTCTCACACCAGCAACAGAGCACGCTGAAGACTGTACAGTTTGAATGCCCTCTATCTACAAAATAATTGGGCACAAAGCAAATATTTAAAATGTGCCCTTATAAGCAAGAAGCCTTGATGCTTAAACTTTATTAGTTCTATAGTGAACCCACCTTTGAGCCAACACATAAAACTGCCATATTCAATCCATCTTGACCTCCCCAAATGGCAACTTCACACGGTTCGCTTCGGCACACTTCCGGCACACCGCAGCAGTGCAGGCTGTGCCGTTCGTTAGGAGGGACTAAAAGCTCACGGCTGCGGTGTAGGCTGAGCTCCTGCACTCATGGAAGAGGATCATGAAAACTCGCCTGACCGTGCTTGTGGAACGTTCAATATGGAAAACCTACAGAAATCATTACGGTCCCTGAAACTGCATCTCGATAACAATACTTATATGAAAAAATAACAACGCGTGAACAGAGACAAGAATATGAAAACATTAACAAAATGATTTTTGCATTTGTGTGGCGCAATGATGAGCAAGTGAGAGATTTCATGCCTCTCAACATCTTCCATTTGAGAAAACCCAGGTGTTGGTTAGTAAATGGTGACCTGGCGCAGCCAAAGGCAAACTGAAGGGCACTTACTTTTTGCTCGCCTCGCAGACGTCTGTGATGTTGGAGAAGAGATGGTGACTCTCTGTTTTCGTCATCGTATCACTCAGTTCTTTAGAATTTTTAAACATCCGTATCAAGATCTCCAAGCTGAGTAAATAGGAATGTTCTGAGGATATAACTTCAAAGATAGCCTGGTAAGGAGGAAAGAGAAATGTATTGTTAATTCTATTAACTGAAGAACTAAATATAGCTCCCATAATTCTGCTGTATGGATGATGTAATATCTTGAGAAGTACAGCCTTGGGTAGTGTGGCTCAGGGGCCTGACTGCCAGCCTGTGAACCAAAGGGCTGCTGGTTTGGTTCCCAGTCAGGGCACTTGCCTGGATTGCAGTAGGGGGCGTGTGAGAGGCAACCACACACTGATGTTTCTCTCCTCCTCCTCCTCCCCTTTCCCTCTTTTTAAAAATAAACAAATAAAATTTAAAAAATTTAAAAAAGTACAAAAAGGTAAGCATTAAGGAAACTGCATCACCAAACTAGTATCTTTATATAAAGTTACTGGCCTTAGTGTAAATATGAAAAAATGAAATCATCTGGATGATTGCATCGGAGGTCACACTTTGCCAAGTGGGGGGAATCTGTGTTAGAGAGTCAGGGCATGTGATAAAATCCCAGTGTGACACTAATTAATCTCAGGGGCCAACTCCGCTGGCCCTGCTTTCGAAGCATGCTTCTCAGGGACAGTACGGATTTAGTCATCACTGAGGATTCAGAGAAAATGTCTCACAAATACACCCCTTCACTACAGCTCTGCAGGCCCCTTCTCTCCCTGTGTTTTCATCTGAATAATCTGCAGTCAATAACGGCAAATATTCAGGGTGTAATAAGAGACTTGACTGTACCTACCCTCAAAAGGCTCTTACCAGCCACAGGAATTCTTTCATATAAACAAATTGAGAGTAATTCTGTTTGTTCAACACACCACCACCCCTGCTCTTGTCAGTGTCTCAAGAAGGAGCGAAGGACCCTCAGCAGAAACGCTCGGTGTCAGGCACACAGTGGTTTTCCTGATAAGCGCTCATCAATGATGAAATGCCAACACACAGGTGGATGAACACCAACGCGCTATGTAAGGAATTCGTCCAGCCCGGTAACAAAATCAACTTCAGATCCCCCAAGAAAGGCAACACAGGGAAAATTCCTCCTCAGGGAGGGATGGTGAACTTCCTTGCAGGCCTGAGATTCACAGCCTTCCTGGAGACCTCCCCAGTAACTCTGCCATCATCACCCCGTCCGTCCTCCAGGGCTCCTCCCAGCAAGCCCTCGGCTCAGAAGATGCTTCCCACCACTCCCTGTGCCGCTAGGAAGGCTGGGTGGGAGGAGAGCAGGCCAGGCAGGTGGACGCCCAGCGGCTGATGGGCGGGCCATATTTGTAAGCCAGATCAGTGACGCTGATCTCAATATGCACCTCCCAATTTAGCATCCACAAGCTTTTAGGAGAGTCTTACTTAAATGTGTTAGTCTAGCCTTGGTTGTACTCAGGGATTTAAGTCACATAACATTCTAAAAACCAAAGAGTAAGACCATTCAGAATCTCACTTAAACTGTATCTTGCGTATTTCTACTACACAATCATCAGTCCGTACAATCATACTGGGGAAATGCAATACACACGAAAGAAAACTGTCACTTCCTAGCCAAAAATAGTGGATTTCAAGTTATTGATGGACATGGTGACTTGGAATGACTTAAAATATTTTCAAAAGGCTTTTACAATCAAATCTAAAATACTAAGATTTGAACTAAAAGATATAATGAACAACACAGAACAGATCACAGAAAAAGACGGATTAAGTGGCACTTTAATGAACAGGTTTAATGTAATAATTGCCAAAAATCCCTCAACGTCTAAAAAGCAAATCAGGTTGCACCTGCTAAAATAGCTGCATAGGAATAAAAAGAAACCATAAAGTAAGATATTTTGCTGTCATTTACTGTTTTATACCATAAATCTGAATAAACATTTTCAAAATATAAAGGAAATTAAAAAGCTTCAAATAGAAAAAGTTTAAAGGAGCAGAAATGTTCAAATGTAATTAGGCCTCTGGAGAAGCTCTTACATTTGTCCACAAAGAGCGAGAAACGTTGTCTACACCACAATGTTAACAAAATAGGAAAAAAATATCACCTACTGTCCATGATTTGGGAAACAGATTTTAAAAAGGTGGTATTTATAGAATGGAACACTGTATCATAGTCTGAATGAATAATCTAGATTAATGGGCATTAACGTGGATAAATCTTAAAAACAATGTTACATGTAAAAGGGAACCAAAAATATGTCCAGAATCATATCATTTACATACATTTTAACACACAAACACAGATACATATGTATAAATATACATAATATGTGATTTAAAAACACAAATTGGACAGATGTATATTAATTCATAACTACAGTTTCCTCTGGGGTTAGGAACAAGGGAATGGGACTGAGAAAGAGAATATAGGACTTGACGGAAAGTCTTATTTTCTTTACTTTAAAAAACATGAAGAGCCCTGACTGGTTGGCTCAATGGGCTGGGCACCATACTACAAACCAAAAGGTCACTGGTTCAATTCCCAGTCAGGGCACATGCCTGGGTTGTGGGCCTGGACCTCGGATGAAGGCGCTGGAGAGGCAACCACACGTTGATGTGTCTGTCTCTCCCTCCTTTCCCCTCGCTCTAAAAGTAAATAAATAAATTTTTAAATATGAGGAAAAAAGTATAAATGTAATACATTTGTTAGTTCTCAGTGATGGGTATACCAATGTTAAATGCTATTCATTTATTTAAACTTAAAAAAATGGCACTATAACATACCCTCATATTTTTGTATTATTCCATTTCTTATAATGAAATAAGAAAAGGATACCTCATAACCTTTGTGGATTTAATTTATACGCATGTATACATACAAACTTATATATGTGTGTGTGTATATATGTCTGTATATGTCTATATATAATAATACACATAAGACAGGAAAATGTTTTATTTTCACAATATTATCATATTGAGCAACTTTCTTAAAATGCAGTTATTTGAACTTCAAGTTGTGAAACCCTATTGCTATGTTTTACTTTTTATTAAGCAAAGGTTTATTTTGACATAATTTTAGATTTCCAAAATCGCTCCAGGAGGGTTAGGAGTTCTGTGTTCCTTCGCCCAGCTCTCCCGACCAGGGTACTGATTATAACCAGAGTACATTGCATTTTGTCTACAGACAAATACACGGACTTCATTCAGACCTCACCAGTTTTCCCACGAACATCCTTTTTCAGTTTCAGAGTAGATGTCTGTTTCATTTTTTCAACATATTTCTTCCAGTTTAAATATGCAGACCAGGTGCTTTGCTATTTAGGTAAACACTGAGATATTTTAATTTTTGTCTTTTCTGGGGGCTTATGTGTACTTTTGTTTGACAATGATCACATATGTCTTTTGTAACAAACTCATTTTATTCTTTTCATACACATATTTACTTTTTACATTCGTAAAGAACACTGGAATAAGCGCACACAGTAGGTGAAGCACACACATGCTTCAGAGCGCTAACGCATCAGCTTGCAGAAAACATACCTCTTGCCTCTTTCTTTCCTCCTGGCTGACTGCCTGAGATAATCCATTTCTTTTCACCTGCGGGGAAGAAGAGTTTTGAAATTATTCATTTTAACAATTTCTTTATTATGTAAGGTATAACACTCTGCAATTCACAAATCAGAGAAATTTATGAAAAATGTTGAATTCTGTCTCACAAGCCCCTCAATATTTAATCCCATTAACAAACGAGCTAAGTTCCACACTGAAGAAGTGACCACTGTGTAAAACACTATCCTACCAGGTTGTCAGTCTGTTCTTTTCTTAGTTCTGGATATTCCGAAAATACATCTCGTATCGATCTCCCAAATCACAAATGCAGAACTCTCATGAGAAAGAAACGAAGCCACTGCTCTGAGAGTTTACTGTCCAGGATCATAAAACGAAAGAGTAATTTTTACACCGTTTTTCATATGGATTCCAAGGAAAACCAATGCTCTTTATAAAACCCCAAAGAAGAAAACAAAGTCCCCTCGGCCCCAATTTCAGCAGTCTTTTCAGCACAGTTACTTTTGATACATAAGGTCGCTGCCCTGATTTGGAGAAGCAACAGTACCTACGAGAACCGAGAGTATCAGCCCCACACTTGGAGCAACGCACCTGTATCACTGGTGGAGTCAGTACAATTGCTACCTCAATTACCACGCACTTCTATCCAGTTGTTGCAGTTCCTGCCATAACTCTGAACTCTGAACTCTGAACTCTGAACTCCAGGAAGGCGGGACCTGGTGCCTCTTCACCTGGCACTCAGTCTAGCATGCGAAAGACATTCATGTTTTCCAGTCAAAGATTAATTTAGCAAAAGATAAGGCATACGTAAAAATACCTCCCAATGAAACCCTGCCCTGAAGAAAAAGAAGAGCAGCAAGAAAAACAGTCCCCCCGAAACACTGTGTTCAATATTAACAGCAAGAAAATAGAAAGGTCCTCAAATGCAGGTTTTTCCTATCACTCGTGATTTTTTTTGACACCATGTTTTCCTAGACCTGTTTTTAAGCTCACATCTCAGATGTTCATCCCAAGAAAAACAACTTTAAAGATGTGTTTTCCTGCTAATAGTCAACCCAGACATTTGAAATGTGTGCTACCAGGGTCTTTGAAATGCATTCGATGGAGTATAAAAACCATAATGATCTCATATCCACCACCATCCATTTAAAAACAAGCTTCCCTTAGCAGTTGGTGCTTTTACACTATTCTCCTTTCTCCTGGAAACCACATTTCTATGTCACTGTTGCACCCCCAAATTTCCTAGTGTAATGTAATTCTGTATGTTAGAGTATCTTATAAGCCCTACTAGTATACTTGGAAGCAAAAATGTTTTTAAATGTAATTTTCTGAAATTCCCTGTGACTATTGAGCTTTGAAGATAAGAGATTCTCATGGACTACACAACCACCACAAATATTCTTAATAACCTATGATCAAAGCAACATAATGACTTCCAAGTTTAGTAAATTAAGTCTTAAGAATAAAATGTTACTGAGAATGCAACTTTTAGGAAAGATGAGTGTGGCTGGGTTATGGTGGCTTAATTAAAGAAGACTTCACTGAAAATATACTACAGTGACCCCCTTTCATTTTGTGCCCCAGCGGTCTCTGACACCTTCGGGCAATACACCATAGAGGGAGTTGAGATGGGCAAGAGAGATGCCTTTCTTTACTAAAATGGCAAAAAGCAGCCCTGACTGGTGTGGCGCAGGGGGTTGGGCATCATCAGAAAGGTCATTGGTTCAATTCCCAGTCAAGACACCTGCCTGGGTTGTAGGCCAGGTCCCTAGATGGGGGCGGGACATGCAAGAGGCAACCAATCAATGTTTCTCTCCCCATCTTTCTCCCTTCCTCCCCCTCTTGCTAAAAATAAATAAATACAATCCTTTTAAAGACATGGCGAAGGGGAATTGTGAAAGGGGAGACTGGAAAAAAGACCTGGAGTAACTGTTTAACTGCAGGTGCAGTGTCCGTTTTACGAAGGAGAGTAACTTGAGGTTGAGGACCTGGGAAGTGGTAGGCCTCCACGGATGCCTGTCCACCTGCCACAGTTGGTGCTCACGGCGACCACGGACACCCCAGTGTGAAGACGGCTCCGCAGAGTTCCCTACATTGTGCTGTCATGGAAACCAAGACAATCACTTGTTACTGTCTTTAACGTAATTTTTGGAAAAGTTAGCAAGCCGTATAAGAATAGAGTCCTGAAGTAATACTAAAGTGAGCCATCATTTACTGAACATTTACTGTATGCCAGGAAATGTGCTGAGCATTTTACACCTGTTCTCTCACTGAATCCTCATAAAATCTCGAGAAAGTTGGTACTATTCTTATCCCCATTTCACAGAGGAGGATCACAACTGAGGCTGAGGATCCAAGATCACAGACTAAGTAGGCAGCAAAGACAGAATCTGCGTCCATGCCCGTCCAACTCCAGGGCTCATGCTCTTTATCATGATTGCCTATTATGGGTTAGGGACCCCTTTCCCCTGCCCTCTATGACAGCCCCCCCCATTTCCAGGGTTGGGGGAGACTCCTTCTCACGTGAGTTCTCTGTACCAAGTCTCTGTGTGTTTTATTTCATCCACCCATATCATGGAATGTTCTTAGCTTTACCCACCACCCGACCCTGGGTCAGCCTGTCAGCAAGAATGCATGGCTGAAAATGCTCCTTCACACAAACGACTAAGGGGGAAGACCGGTCAGAAGGAAACCGTTCAGAGCTTCTCCCACTTGGTTAACCCTGAACAAGAATTTCACAGGATTTCCTGCCTGACACAGAGTCCGGGCAGATGGATACCCAGGCTCCGTGCCCACAATCTCCGCAGGTGAGGTCATCAGCAAGCGTTTCCACGCCACTGCCATCTGCATCCAAAGCTACTGATGAGTTCAGACCCGGAAATCTTCAGGGGAAGAGAACGAAACGTGGGCTTAGAGACCTAGACAGGTGACGGCTAGTTTACTGAGGGATGAAGAGTACTTCATCTGATCATAAAAACAAAACAAAAAGATCCCTATCTAAAGTAGTTGCTTTTCATGGAGGAGGAGAAGGTAGTTTTGAAAAGGGCAAGGTACCAACATACAGAATTACCTCTTTACTTACTAATAATCAAAAAATGAAGAAATATTCCTTTAACCAAAAAGTCATCAGTAAGAAACCAGCAGCCCAAAACAAAACTACTGCCAGAGGAAAAAAAAAGATTGCAGTAAACATTATCGGGTCCTAAGAAAACCGAAGTGCGATATGTTCGGGGAGCATGAACTTTTGCTCTGGGGGAATTATGACACACCAGTTCCTCCTGGCTGGCGGCCACGCCACTGCTCCAGGGCCTGGCCTTCCGTCTCAGCCCCTTCGCACCCTCCTGGGCCAGCTGAACAGGTTCCTCCTCCTCAGTGGAGAAGGATCGTTTGTCCACCTGAGGACTCCTTCCCCATGCGACTCTAAAGTAAGTAGTACCTGACAGCAGGTGCCCGCGGGTGGAATGTCAAGAGCGGGCAAGATGACTGCAGAGACTATGGAGCCCAGAGAAATTAAACCAGAGGAAGAGGGGGAGAGAGTGATATAAAAAGAGGGCCCCACAAAGGCTCGAAAGGCAGAAGAGAGAAAGTTAACAGAAGAATGAAAAACAGGAGCAAACATCAACCAGAAAGGAACAAGGAAGGAAAAAAGAGAATGCACCGAGTGTTCAATAGAAACTACCTCTGGACATTTTCTAATTCAAAAACAGTGACCTTATGAGTGAAGGAAAGGAAAACCACTAGAAGGCCCAGGCTTTTTTTGTATTTTAAAAAAATGTGGTAAAAGATATGTTTACACCTATAATGTAAAACTTACATGCTTTTTGCAGTCTGTACATTTTTTGCTAAAAGAATCTAAAATATGACGTACATAGCATCTTTTCAAGTGTTCCCCTCGTTTCCATGTGTAGAAAAGAAAAAGAAATAATTTGCAAGCTTCTAGAGCTGATTGCCATTTTGCCATCTACATGAATAATTAAAATTGTCCAGGCTCCTTTTTTAAAAATACATATTTTGTAATGATAGTTCTGGCTGAGTACAAACAGAAACACTTGGTCAAAGCAACATTCCTTTGAGGCCTCTGCTGACCTTGCTAGAACTTTCTTATTCCTCACTGTCTCGTCCTAGTTTAATTTTTTTATTCAACTATGTCATCGGTAAGTAGAAGAGCAAAAGTAGTCTAATGAAACACTAAGCCCTGAATTCAGTTTTGGGCTGTAAGCAACACACAGGACTGTTTCAATCTCACCATGGCAGATTTTAGACTTGAGGGAGAAAACATGAATGCATGTCAGTGTCTTCAACATTTTAAGTGGATAAAAATTAATTCAAATAAAAAAACAGAATTATAGCTCAAGACCACAGTCCTGAGCTAAGTTTAAAAAATATGAATATATGTATGTGGCTTAACAAGATAGCAAAGGCAGAGAACTCAGTAATATTATAATAGTTTCTAAATCGTAATTAGATTTTTACTGCTGTATAGGTATTGAAATTCTTCACCCATGACCTTTGTAACTGATACGTGTCCTGCGTCCAAACGAGACAGAAATGAACAATTAGCTGAGACTAATAAAGAATAGTACAAGATACTCCATAGATGTCTACTTAGACCCAAGTCTTTGAAATTTAGAAAACAGTAAAGCCCCTAGAAACCCAGCAGCTAACTGTTAGATACTTCATCTAAAATTCATGCCCATATTCTTCTTGACAGCTTGCAAGTCTGACTTTCTCAGATGACACTCCTACACTCAACAAGTCACGGGCATCTTCACAGGACATGTCAGGAAATCTATAAACTCTGTGCTGCATTCCTTGGCCTTTACTCCACTGACTGGAATAGGGATGAGCCAAGTTCACCAAGGCCCAAACAGAAGCCCAACACTGCCACTTACGCACAGCCTATCTGCAGGACCGAGCAGACCATGTGGAGACAGCCAATTAATAACACCGGTCTCTTGGTTAACCGGGGTAACTAGGCTAAGTTCTCAGGTCCACCAAGACTTGCTATTATTTTTAGAAAAGATGGGCTC